CATTGACAGCTGCAATATCTCAGTTAGGATACTGTGAATTTCATTCCTGAATTCTCTGTTTTATCTCATCCAGAGTTCTTGGGCGGGTGCACTTTTTAACGTATGCTTTGATGGGACATTATCATGGCTTCCTAAGTTGTAAAAACGGTGGAACTCCCTCTGCTCATCTTCTAAACTAGTAGGGGAGTGTCGGGTACCACCGCCCAGCGGGTAACCCACCCACAGTCAACTTCATATGTATTGAATATTTTTTCAAGTCAATGGGCCAGCGGATATTAATTGTTATATTAAAAAAAGATTATTTTCAAAGTTTCAAGTATTTATGATAAAATATTTGTGATATACTCAAGTAATACTGAAGTATTTATGATAAAAATGATAACTGAGGTTTATCTATTGTCAATACATTGGTCATTTTCATTTGCACCTGAAAAAAAAGTCAAAAAACATAATTTGTGTAACTGGGTGGGGCTACCCGACACATTTTGAAAAGAACTGAACATGTTTTTTTAAATTTCTATTTTTTTAAGTAAAACTATTCTTTTTTTGGTTTATTCTTTTTGCATTATTTAATTGGATAATAAAACAATAGAAACATACAAAAATATTGATTATTACTCAATATTATACAGAAATATAAGCAATACTCCTTAAGTGGGCGGGGCTACCCGACTCTCCCCTACTGTTTTTATAAAACAATTTTTATGGCGAACGCACGCTGTCTCCCGTTCCACTGATCCATGGTTACTAAAATGGCAAAGTGTTTAATTACTCAAGGTTACTATCCCACATAGTACTGCCACCAGCTCATGGCAGCCACTACGCATTCAAAATATTTCCGCCTCCTTTTTTTTTCTTCTTTTTTTTTAGTGTCATTTGTACTTTCCTGAAAAGTTTTTATTCGCTTTATGAGGTAAAAATTCCTACAAGTATAAAGACAAAGATTAATTCACTAAAGTAGCGTTACATTTTTATTTCTTTTTTATTATGGAAAGTGCGTTTACTTTTATTGAAGTCAACTTTCAAAGTCATGTCAAAATTATAGACTCAAAAAGAGAATGTAACCTCAAACAAGGCATAGCAGGCAGGGGTTAAAAATTTTGAACAGAAATATTCTACCGTTCCAAAATGTATTCTTAATATTAAGTGTTCATTAGTTACAGTAATCATATAGGTATTGAAGTGATTAGGAGGTTGAAATGGAAGTCAAAATGCTTAAATCTTTGTCAGAAATCTTTAATTATACTTTGCTGAAACGTTGTTCTCCGCTTTATTATAGAAGAGAATGACGTTGGGAGAAAATTAGATCATTATTTAGTTTTAATTAAAACTCCCGAACCGTTCGCTTAAAACTTCTTAATTAGCACTTAATCACGATGTAGAGTTAAAGATTGTAGGGGGATGAGGAAAGATGGATACATAAAATCGACAGAGAGAGTAAAATTTTCCTGACGAAAAAGAACACAGTGGGGCTTTCCAGTTCCCTTTTAAAAGTTTCGAAAACTGCGCAGAGAAGGTAACGACACAGCTATAAAAATTTTTCGCTTAATCAATTAGCCCGAAAATTCAATCGCAGTTCTTATTTTATTTCTCGAAATAACTTTACGAGTTTTAAAGTTCGAGTTTATTTTTGAGCTGAGTGGTTTGAGTGCTGCTTTTGGAAATTTATACAACTTTGAAAAATAATTTCAATTAGTCATCAATAGATAAATAAAGAAAGTCTGAAGTTTTTGAATTGTTTTTTTTATTTATTTATGACAGAAAATATGTAGAATAACATTTTTGAACTCAATATATAAAAATCATAAGGAATAATATGCACCGTTTTTTGACCTTTAAATAATTATTAGAATTATTTTTCTTTTTTTTTCCTTGTAACAGGTGATTGCAAAAGTTCGCAATCGATTTGATACCAAATAAAAAACCGTTTTCAACAGCAATAATAATAGTAATATGCATCAACATTGCATATGACGTATTTCCTAAGAATATTATTGAAACAAAAAATATAAATGGATGTTTAAAGGCCTTAAACTTTCATATTTTGGGCATGACACTGGCTCTAAAATTTGATAATTTTTTTGTCCTTTCATCAGATTGCATGATATTCTTTTATAAATTAATGGGAATCATTTTCAGGCTAAGAATCATCTTCGAATTTTCGATGATGTCTTGATAATTTCTGTTCTTCTTATAAATTGTTATAAATAGTTTTTATTAAATCAAATGGGTCACTCGAACAAAAATCATGGATTATACTCGAAGGTTTGAATATTTTGTGAGATATTCCTCATCCACATGTTACACTGAATTTTGTTCCTTTAATAAATCTCCACCTGAATGATTATGACACATTAACTAAGAATATGAACCAAAAATATTAATGAATGTTTTGAAGCCCTTCACTTTCATGCTTTTTTCATGACACTGGTTGCCTTAGATAGCATAACATTCTGTCGAACATTTATGAGATTCATTTTCACATTAAGATACATCGTCTCATTTCGATGATTTTCAACACATCTTTGAAATGTTTCATTTATGATTCCTGTCTTTTTTCATAAATAATCACAATAGTATTTATCATTCATAAATGATCATAATATTATTTTTAAATCAAAGGGTCAATCCTGCAAAAATCAAGGTTTGGACTCGAAGGCTTTCAACATCGTGAGGCGAATTCTGCACCACTTATGATGTTTTGTTTCCATGATAAGAGCTCTCAGAAAGTTTATGGAACATTTCCCCAGGATATTATTGAAGCAAAAAATATTAATGGATGTTTAGAAGCCTTGCGCTTTTCTACTTAGGACGTGAAGCTGGTTTTAAATTTTGAAAAATTCGATATTTTTCAGTAATTGCCTGATATTCTTTTGAACATTATTAGGGCGCATTTCACATAAAATACATCTTCCCAATTTCAGTGATATTCAGCACTTCTTTCAAATGTTTCATTTGTGATCTTTGACTTCCTCAAAAATAATTAGAATAGTTTTTACTCATTCAAATAAACTACTCGAACAAAAATTATGGATCGGACTCGAATGCTTTCAACAGATTGCGACATATTCCGTACCCACATCTTACACTGAGTTTTGTTCCCTTGTTAAAGTACCGCCAGAAAGTTTATGGCATATTTCCTAAGAATATTATTGAAACAAAAAATATTAACGGTTGCTTAGAAGCCTTTTTGTAACAATGTTGTAGAGAAAAAATTCAAGACCTTTCCAATATTGCACAGTATTTCTTTAAAAATTAATGTGAACCATTTTCAGATTACGATACATCTTTCCATTTTCGATGATATTCAACATCTCTTTCGAATGTTTCTTTTATGATTCCTGTCGTTCTCATAAATAATTAAAACAGCTTTTATTAAATCAAACTGGTCACTCGATGAAAAATATGGATTGGACTCGAATGCTTTCAACAGCCTGTGACATATTCCGCACCCACATCTTACACTGAGTTTTGTTCCCATGATAAAGGTCTCTCAGAAAGTTTATGGCACATTTCCTAAGAATACTATTGAAGCAAAAAATATTAATGGATGTTTAGAAGCCTTTATGTGACAATGTTGTAGAGAAATGTCCATCGGGAGGAAATAACGATAGGTCATCCATCATAAGTGGTGGCGAGTTTCTTTAATGCGACTTACAGCTTGCCATCAATCTTCAATTGGAAGGGAGTCAACCTTATTCGGCTTTGATGACAGTATCAAAGGAGTAAGTTAAACTATTAAAGATAGTTCAAAAGTCTAAAATTACGGATTTTTCGTTCGCAAGGTTTTCCATAATAGCTTGTATTATGCGGAAATTTCAAACGGATTTGACGCATTATGCTGTAAAATAACTTTCGCACCTTCTCTCAGATAAAGGAAAGCTCCTTTTTGATAAGTTTGTGTTAAGAAGACGTGCGAGAGAGACCCTATCTGAAAAATTCTGTTTCACCTTAAATGGGTAGTTTAAAATTTAGGAAAAAGTGAGTTCGGAAAGTGAGTCAACCAAATGTAAACTGTAAAGTTTGTAATTCAGAACATGCTTTTTTGGCAAAATATCAAAATTATAACAAATTATGGAAGGATAACTTCTGCAATACATCAAAGCAACTAAGCTTTTTTCTAAAGGGCCATATTTAAGTCCTGTCATATTTTTTATTTATTTATTTATTTTTTGCATTCTGCAATTTTAGAAAAAGAAAATTCTCAGTACTGAAAACTACAAAGTTTGCTTTCGCTTTTTCTAATTTGAGTTGTTGATATCTTTACGAATTGGTTTACTACATTATTTATAATAAAAATTTTCGTCTGTAAATACAGAAACATTATAATGGAACACAGATATAAGTTTTCATTTTCAATATTTTGATGTTCCAGTCTTTGTATATTTAAACCAGACACATAAACATTTTTAAAAAATTAAAAATACTGATAGAAAAAGAATGTATATATACTGTAATATAAATTAGAGTGCAAAAATATTTATTAGTAATTATTGTTTGCATCGAATTATCTTTAAATGATGTACTTTATATTTGTGTTTAAAATTTCTATAATTTGCTTACCTGCGTTCTCAAGTTATATCAAAAAATGCAAAAAGTAAAATTAACATTAAGGAGTCCAAACTTTCGACCGCTTTTCTGACCAAACTACTTGCACTTGATATCTGTCTTGATCAAAAAAAATAATATCTGTCAAACCGAAAACATGTTTATTCAGAAGAAGGACGTTTTTCTGTCTGATTTCATAACACAACACATCGGCTGCTCTTTATTTTTTACTTGTTAAACACATTGTATGCTTGTTAAATAACATACTTAAGGTCAAGCCCTCAAACTATTAGGATATTTAGTTTCGGTAAGTGTAAAGAGGATTATTAGACCAAAAGTTGTTGAGAAAGATGGGTTTTTTCTGCACTGTACATGAAAAAAAACCATAACAGTTGCTAAAAAGTATTGAAAAAAATTGTGTTTCATCTCATGTATATTTTTTTCTCTTGCAGGACCGCCTCAATTAATGATTGAGAATGCCCCTTTGGTATCACACATGGTTGTGGACAAAGACGAAACTGCTAAGATTATTATACGGTTTTGCTCAGATCCAGAACCCAGAAGAAGTTATTGGGAATGGGATTCATTTCGACAAGAAACAAATTCAAACACTGGAAGACACGATGCATCAGAAATTCAAAAGGTAACATTTTAGAAATTTCATTTTTTAAATTTCTTAAAACAAAAGTTTTAAATACAGTATGTGTTTTTTTATTACATTAAAGGTACGAGTTTAATCAATCTGAATTACGCGTTGTCTAGATTCCTTTTATTTTTCTATTTTTACATATTATTATTGCCCAATACATGAGCAAAACTAAGGTAAACAACGTTAAAGATCACAAAAATATTTATAAATTACAGACAGCTGTTTAGGATTCTCAAAGAGCAACCTTCATCAGTGCAACAGATGCTCAAAGGGCAACCTTCATCTGTTGCACTGATGAAGGTTGCCCTTTGAGCATCCGAAACAGCTGTCTGCATTTTATAAATATTTTTGTGCTCTTTTGCGTTGTTTGCCTTAGTTTTGTATTTTCGCACAAAATTCGCCCACTTGTGTATTTACAATACATGAGTTTATGTTTAAAATGTGACATGGGAGTGCTGAGAAAGAGATTCCCACGTGTATAACTTTTCCATATGATTCTCATATGAATAGCGTCGTTTAAAATAAGTATTTAGACAAATTTGAAATATGTATTTATTTAGATTTCTTTCATATTTGTATTCTTACACCTAATTAGTAGCACAAAAATGCAGGAATTTATGTTTAAAATCTGGAAACACTGTCACCCGGCCGGAACTGGCAACCAATTAATTGTGAAAGGCAACTATATTTTTAGCTGTTCACTTCCAGATATTAATTTGTATTATTATTTTAAATCAACTACATGTTTAGCTTCAATTCGAGTGTAATTTGTTTACCGTTCTCTCACGTGTTTTCAGCTGTCTTCACAGAAGAAAATGGCTCTAATATTTTCACTGACTATTACCATTTTTTAATTTCTTAGAGCCCTAGACTGGACCATTTCAGATTAAGAGATTCTCACAGGCAACATTAAAATCTGAAATATGCAATTATTCAGTCAAATCTGAAATAGGCAATTATTAAGGTTTATTTTATCTTTCTATTTTTAAACTTAGGTAATAGTGCAAAAGTATAAAAATTCATGCTAAAATGCTGCAAGGATGTACTGATTAAGAGATTTCTGAGAAATGCTTTTTTAAAATCAAATTGTAATAAATTTTTTTTTAATTTTTAACTAAAATATATAACAGATTAGATGGCGTAATAAATTTTTTCTCTGTCAGTATATAAGCTTTGAATACAAAATTTACAACAAACTATTTTCTTACAATCCTTGACATGTGGGGAACAATTCACTTATCACTAATTTACTATTTTAAACAGATAAAAAAGTTATATTTCACCCATTTTTATCTATCTTTATATACAGAATTGAATGCAAAGACTTTTAGATTAATTAAAATAAAACTTTTGTCCTGATGAATGGAGGTTTATAATCACTTTTTTAATTTTTTATACTTTCCACTTTTTATAGCACTTACGATACATTAATTTAATTGTCAATGCAATTGAACGCTAAAAATAACTTAATGTACTGTGTGTAAAATAAAAATCGGACCAACCTGAATAACCTTTGATCTAATCATCGGATCTTCATATTCTAGGACTCAATCTTAATGGTTTGAAGAGGTGATCTCAAATATGCTAATTAGTTAGTACAGACGATATTTAAGTTACGAAATCTGACACAAAAAACGTACTTTCTCTGAATAAACACACTTTTTTTTCTATAGATTCGGATTTTTTACTCCCAAATTATAGGGGCAATCTGGGAATTATGGTTTCAATAATTGGACTGGAGAGCGGTCCAAAATTTGGACCCATTTAAGTAATTTTATTTTTTGCGCAATTCGCCATAGCTCTAGAACTTTTTAAGCGATTTGAAACATTTTTATACTGAATTATAAAATCTGCTTATCCAAAGACAACTCCATAACTTTTAGTAATTATTCATTATCTTTTTCTAATTTAATAATGGTCGAAAAAATTTACGCAAATTTTGAATTTTGCAATTTAAGTTGCGATATGCAAAAATTTGGAAAAATCGGCTGATTAGTTCTGAGTAATCGAATTTTGAAAAAGTCGTATTTTTAAAATTTGATTTCTCAGAAATTATTCTACTGAAATTGCTCAAATTTTGTATCTTTTGATTTAAAATTGCATCCTTTAAAATAATCCATAAGTTCTATATCTTACAATTCAAAATTTAAAAAAATAATAATAACAAATATTTAACAAAATAATAAAAATCATAAATGTCTAATAAATTGTTTTTTGCATCAAATTATCTTTTGATAAACGAATTCTATAATTGTGTGAGAATTTTTTTTCAGTTCACTTAAAAAGTTCTTGAGATATGGCAGAATACGTGAAAAGTAAAATTACCATTAAGGGGTCCAAACTTTGGACCGCTCACCTGACCAAATCTTTGGGACCATATTTTCCAGATTGCGGCTACCCCCTAGAGGTCAAAAATCTAAATCTGTTGAAAAAGATATTTGTTTATTCAGAGAAAGTACGTTTTTGTGACTGATTTCCTGACTTAAAATATCGTCTGAAGTAATTAATTATCATATTTGACGTCATCCCTTCAAACCATTAAGATTGAGTCCTAAAAGTGAAGATCCGATCATTAGATTAAAAGTTATTCAGGGTAGTCAGTTTTTTGGCGCTCTGTACAATTATGGTTATTAGAGCACCATACTACAATATCAGAGGTCCTTGGATCGGCTGTTGTCAGCAGTCAAAGAAAATCTCATTCACACATTTCTTCATCTACATTTCTTCATCTACATCACTTCGCGTTTTTCTCAAAAATAAGCATAAGCATTTTCAATTTTGAATACATAGGGTTGTTTCGGGGCCATTTTGACACATTTTTGTACATTTCAAAGAAACCATTTTTTTTACAGTGCACTTAATAAAGCTAATAATTAAGCTGTAATAAAGCTAATAATAAAGCTGTATGCATAAACTTAGACTCTACTGATATATTTTTTGTTAGAATTACATGGGTTTTCGAAAAAATGAAAGCATAGTTTGAAGAATAGCAATTTAGGAATTAGAAAAATATATAGTAACTCCTACTGGTTTGAGATTTGTTTGGTTTCATCTTAAATATTTAATAATCCATTTATATGAGTAATGAAATCCACACCAGTGCGAACTATAATAACTATAAATGCATTTTAATTGTTATTATTTACTATTGTTATTGCAGTCAATTAAGTTAACCTTGTTTTATTCATAATTAACGATCTTTTTTTTAGATACCTAATAAAGATGACTGCTATGATGCACGATTAATAATTCGTAACGTTGAAGGAGGTGACTCAAAAACATACACATTAGTGGTTGAAAATGATAAAGGACATGAAACATTTTCCATTGTACTTGAAGTTAGAGGTAAGGAGCATTATATAATAATTCAAATCTTTTTAATTGCTTAGAGATTTCCTTTGTTATAACTTTAACATTGAAAGCCTTTGAATAACTTACTTTTGTCTTAGCAAAATTTTTTGTTTACTATCATAACAGTTTCTATTTAAGACAAGTAAGAACGAGTAGATTATATTAGAATGTCGTGCCAATATGAACCATACAATTTGTTCAATTCGATAAAAAAAGAAATATATATTTCTACAATCCACTTCAAGAACCTACCTTTTTCTCATCCCATATCAGAAAAAGATCCCACCGCTCTTGACTCTTTGCTGGAGCGTTAGTAGAAAATTGGCTAAAAATTTATTTCTTGCTAGTTTACCCGTTCTTTGCATGGATTAAAAATAAAGTAAATAATCAATAAACCGGTATTAATCGATTGCGTCATTTGTAATATGTTGATTTTTTATGGTTCTTTCAGAAGAATAAATTCAACTTCTGCTCGTCATTAAGTTAACTGCTTAATACAAATCTTTTTTCTCCAATTTTTTACCTATTACCAAAATCAATTGTGCATCATTTGCGCCAATGACAATATGGCAATCTTTTACCACCCCCGCATAGGAATAAGTATATTTTCCTTACTTATCTTTTTAATACAAAACTTTTTTTTTTATTTCAATTTCTACCTATTACCAACTAAATTAGGAATCATTTTAGCCAATAACAATACTGTACTTTTACACGGTTCTCATACACGAATTAGTACCATATCTATTCTCAAAAGATTTAGCTTTTTATTTAATCTGTACCTATTACCAGAAATAATTTTGCATCATTGGCACCAATAACAATATCATTATTTTATGCGTTTCTCATGCACAAACCTGTGCCATTTCTTCAGCTTTTAAATATTTTTTATATTTCAATTTGTACTTATTACTAGAATTATTGGAATTCTAGAATATTCTAAAATATTCTATATATTCTAGAATATTGCAATTCTCGAAAACAATTAGTAACGACATTAATATTAACAGACAGTAAGTAAACAGATTTTTTCATAGTAACTATTAAAAACTTTTTAATGATTTAAAAAATTCTAAAATATATTTTTACTTGTAATTAGAGAGCTAGAAAAAATATATAAAAGGGTTACCCATATCTTACCTGCATTAAAATGTTAATGAAAATATTAAAGGTGATGGAGAGGTCAATACGAATGGTGGTGAGTGGCGCGAAAAGGGACTGGAGTCCCCATGTCATTTACAAAAAGAAAATATAAAATTTAAAGTATAACAATGAGGCAAAAAATACACTTTAATAAATTTTGAAACTATTAAGATAAATAAATTTTAAAATTATTTAGTTATTTTTTCAAACATGATAAATTGATTTTAAAAATATTGACGCTTAAAATAGAAATTTTAAAAATTTAAAGTTACTAAAAATTTAATATGAGATATTGATTCTTACGAAATATTAAGTCTCTAAAATATGAATGAGAGATATTTTTTAAAAATAAACTTTAAAAAAAAATGAAATATTTATTTTTCAGAGCCCTTTATTTTGACTTTGATGATCGGTGGTGCAGTTGTTGTGATATTAATTTTAATCTGCCTTCTCGCTCTCCTTATTTGCTTAGTTCGAAAAGAAAAATGCTGTTTCAGACGTAAGTAAACTTTAACACCTTCAATAATATTTTATTAAAAAAATATATTGTTAGATTTGCAGAATATAATTATATTTTTTGTAATTATTGTATTATAAATATTTTTTAGGTTCAGATGGCTTTAAACCAGCTCCTGATAGGTATGCCTCAATTATATTTTTAAATTTTTATTTTTTATTTTAATGGTTTCATATCTAATTTCTAATAAAATACATACTGCATAAAAACAAATAGATTTTATGTTTCAAACTATTAAATATCACTTCGATAACACGTTTATAAGAATCTATTATATATTTTAATGTAAATAGTACACATAATATAGAAATATACGTAAAAAAGGCAATTGTGGAGCTTAGAATTGAAACGGGAAAACTTTCTCTGCTCGACCTTAAACTTTTTTCTGAACGGAAAATGAATTTGTTCGAAATAATCTGTCATATATTTATCTCAAAATTCAAAGTCTTTTAACAAGCACCACTTTTATCATTAGCTTCTAAAGTAAATTGTTTTCTTTTGAATAATTATTTCACTTTTCTAAAATTGAGGGAGAGCAAAGATTAGTAAAAACGTCACCTGTCAACCAACTGTGGTACATGTACTATTTAAACAAAGGTGAAAAGTCACAAGGTGTTACACTCAGCTAATGCGATTATTTAAAACAAACACAATCTACTTCATTTGATTCTAAGTTATCAATAAATAGTACTTCATTTAAACACATCATTCATTTTTAAAAGATAAGGGATAATAATTTTTGTTTATTTATATACACTATGAATGCTTTAAAACGTAAAAAAGTGATGTATTACTTGGGATGAACACAGTATTGATAATAAAAAAAAAGGAGTTAATGTCAAAGTATTAAAATAGTATATATACATATATATATATTCTGCGCAAAGTAGCATCATACTTCCAATACCTCCCGCACGAATAATATACTTTAATTATTTAGATGCTCTTCATTTTGTTCTATTCTGATTCATTTTTCGTTTATTATTATTTTACTTAACTCAATAATTCCATTCTTGGGAAATTTTTCTTGTTCTTATTTTATACTTTTTAATTCAGCATTGTAGAAAATGGTTGTCCAGATAATGATAAATCTGATCTTACTGCAGCAAAGACAGTACCTTTCTGCACCAACTCCAATACTAAAGGTAAAATAGCGACGATAGGAGAAGATCCATATAACAAAAATGGTAAAAAGGTAAGAATCAGCGATTTATTAATTTTTAAAAAAAAAATAACAGTTAATCTTCATTGTTTGAGATTTTTAAGAGATTGCGTATGTTTAGGTTTTTTAAATTTCTTATTTTGGTATTTTATTAACAGTAGCATTATTATTGCACAATTATTTATCAAACACTTATAGCTATTGAGAATAGAATATATGGCTCTTACTAAAATTTACCCTGTTACAACTTAAAGAAGCCTTATACTGACGTTAGTTCTGTTTGACTACAACCAGAATTTCGCTTTATAACATAACGATACACTACAGCAAGAATGCTAACTTTTTTGGGGAAAAAGTGCCTATTTCAATCAAGCATAAAAGGGTATGTTTTGCTTTCTACTTTTTCGACTTTCTTAAGGAGAGCCGTTAGAGAGCAAGTTCACCAGACGCAGAGCATAATCTTTTTCACGGAGGTGGTCTTGCACTATGCAGGACAATATCCTGAAGTGACGCTTGGCCGTGTCATACCGATCTCATTTTTTGTCACAGATAAGCATTTGATTAATTATTGATGTGGTACGGTGATGAGAAAGCAATGGCATGCAGGCTATCACTGGTTGTTTTGTTTTTTTTGGAATTTCTAACAGTGTGTGTGGGAACCACTTTGCCCAGTCAGTTCTGTCATCAGAGATATCAAACTGTCTTACGTGTTCACCACACGTTAAATTACTGTTCTATTTAATGGCAGTTCTTCCTTATCCAAGGTTCATGGTCGTTCACTGTGAGGTTTGTCAGAGAGGGACAAATCTTCGAACCTGAATTTTTTGAAGCCAATGCCTCGCAATACGTTCATTCACAGCAGTAGCATCAAACGCTTGACATATTCGGTGACTTGATGCAGCTGCTATATCCACTTTGAAGGAGTAACAACACCAAACTAGCTCCTTGGACAGTGTGTCAGTGTTCTGAAAATTAGAAAATAATTTGAACAACGAACAATAAACTAAATAAGCTTTTTTAAACCGAAAGATATTTCAAGTACAATGAATTAACGATACCTATTAAAAAGATTATTACTTAGATAACGATTATAATTATTACTTAGAAAGAATTGCAGCATTTTCCAAATACGATTTTTTTTTTGTCGTATGCCTGTTTAGGCAGTGGGGGTGCGATTGTTACTCCTTTTCAGTGGCGCCATCTATGGCCAGGAATTCGACTTCTGCCACGCCATTCACACAACCACAACCCGTTTATAGGACGGGTCACATTCACACACAAAGGAGAAAGGACATAGAACACACAGAGAGAGAAAGAAACATCCATGCCTTTTCCGTGATTCGAACCCAGGAACTTTCTGATTGTATTATTTATTTGACTTACTTTTAGCAATACAAATAGTTTATTGCAAAAGTTTTCTTTAGTCTACTTATTGACATCTGTATAATTCCTGCGAAATTTACATGTTGGTTCTTAAGTGATAAATGCTTAAAGAATGAAAATATTCAATATACTTGTAAATTATATGATTATAAATAATTAGACTTTTCCAACATTTCCTAATTATTATATTATGTATGGAAGAAAGAAACGGAAAAAAAATGATTTGACTAAACAAGCGAGTTTTTTTATACCTAACCTCTGCGTTGGGTTCTTATTACATTTTTATGCTTTTCTAGGGAGCTGTAAAATTTGTGGAGGGTGCAAATGGCGTCCGGTCAAAGCCGGATCACGTCGCGTCCGAAAACGTCCGGACCAGGATTCTTGATGTTGAACTTTGAAAAATAAAGATTCAAAACTAATCAAGGTGGGGAAATAATAATTTTTAGCTCTTACATAGCTTTTGTATGTAGCTGCTTATTAAAGCTTCTTATTTAAACATAGTGTCACCTAATTGTGTAAGACTATTTTTAGCTTTAGCCAGCTTTTGCATACTGCTTTGCTTGCTTAAAAATTTTAATTTGAAAATTATAAATTCGATGAAATGTGCTTTATTTTAGTTTTCAGTACTTACAGAAACTAAAACGCCAACTAAACAATATGCCTGATTAATGATATATGTGTTATAAGAAATAACTTTTTTTCGGTTGACTTAATTGAAATTTGAAACTCAAAAAATCAACATGCTTTTTAAGTAACCGTGTTTTGAATAGTTTCAAAATCATTTTCAGAAATGGTTTATGAAAAATATAAAAGATACGACTTAAAAAACAAATAGTTAAAAATTTCTTAACGAATACATGCTTAATAATTTATTAAGACTTATAGTATTTGTTTTAAAGATCAACAAATTATAAAAATATAAAACTTCTGCAATTTGAAATACTGTAGAATCCTGGTCGGGACTTTATTTATTTTATGTTCTACGTTTCACTTAACACGGTTTTTACCAATGTTAGTAATTTTCTTGCTTTAAATGAAAAAAAATAACTTTATGTTTCCTTTAGCTCTGGAATCATAAAGTCATTTTATTTCCCTCCAGTGTATATAACTGACATTTGTCTGTCATTTCTTTTTGACAAGACTGTAAATCTGGCATATGATATTGCCATATACTGTTAATTATTACTTAGTTTCCATAAGATTTTGAATTTCATGTAGAGAAACAAATTTATATTTACACCATATCAGATGGCAATAATATCCACGTAAAAAATAACCATTTCATTCATTGTTAATCAAATGGAACTGAGGAATTTTTGCAACTAAGGTAAAGCAAATTTCACTCTCTCTTCCCCTAATACGGATAAAATCTTATCTTGTAGGAACAAAATTTATATGGGATGAAGGGAAAAAATTAACTGTATCAAAGTTTATAAATTTCAGTATCTGTATGTTAGATTGTTCTTTCTTTTATCGAGCATGACCTAAAACTGGAGTTAATCAAATCAATTTCACTAGAGGGAGTCGCAGAGGCTCAGGGGGGGGGGAGTTTGCGCCTCTTAAAGAAGTAATTAAGTTCGAATCCCAGCGATGATTGGCTACAAATTCTGCTGACATAAAATATTCACATTAGTTTCGAGTAAAGCAATATTTCGCTGAGAAAACTTGTTCTGATTCTGTTAAAGTCTATTGCGACAACAGGTCTATTTTTGTTTTAAAAACTTGTTTTGATACCGTAAAAATCCGTCTTAAGGCCTGTTTACACGGTCCAAGTTCTTGAATACAAGAAATTGGATCGTCTAAGCAGGCCTTTACCATGCTTTCCTTGCAATGTTTACGGAAAAAGCTTGAATGATAAAAAAGGCTATTGATTGACTTTTTAAATTGTACTGTTCTGCAAACCAAATCAGCTGCCAGTTTACAAGTTTAAATTTTTTTTTTTTTTTTTTGTAGATAAATAGCATCCAAATATTGTGTTATTGGTAATACGCATACATATTCCGACGTCCATTAGGTAAAATACTAAAATTTTCTAAATTAATTTCTTCTTTAGGAATTGAATTTGCAGTAATCAAAATCTAAAAGATCGTAACTCTAAACCTTTTAATTAATTCAAGACAAAATCAGCTATCTTCGCAGAATTATATTTCGATAATTAATATGGCTGATAGAATTGCTGACAGGGAATTAAAATGGATTTGATCATTACTAAGCTTACTGAGCCATACGCATTTGGAGTTAATTCAGAGACATTTCACAAAGTATGATACTCATTGAAATGATAAGCAATATTTTCAGTTGAAAAATGAGTATTTCCCTTAATATGAAATTCTGGTTCAAATTTCTAAAATGCATGAGACTTTATCGCTAGAAATGATCTTATGATCTATAAATAGCTGAAAGTAAAACTGTGGCGAGTTAATTCGAGTTAAATATGTTTAACTTCTGAAGATTACAAGATTTACTTTGCTTTGAAAAGTATATAGTATTACCATGATTAGTAAAATGATTATTTAAAATTTATTTAGATCTAGCTACCGATAAATCGAAAAGACTTTAAATATTTGTAATTAACTGTAATCTGAATGTATTTGCTTTAAATTTTAGAAATTTCAAATAAGAAAGTCGTNTAATTTGAAACTCAAAAAATTAAGTAGCCTTTAAAGTAACCATGTCTTGAATAGTCTGAAAATCATTTTCTGGAATGGTTTATGAAAATTATAAATGATAAGACTCAAATAACACATATTTAAAAATTTATAAAAAAACACATGCCTAATAATTTATTAAGACATAATATTTGTTCTAACGATTAGCAAACTAAATTTCTAAAATTTCAGCACTTTGAACTACTGTAGAATCCTGGTCGGGACTTAATATTTATTTCATGCTCTAAGCATGATTTAACATGGCTTTTGCCAATTTTAGTAATTTTATTGCTTTTAATGAAAAAAATACTTTATGTTCTCTTCAGCTTTGGAATCTTAAAGTCATTTTATTTCCTTCCAGTGCATATAACTGACTTGTATCTGTCATTTTGTTTTGACAAGACTGTAATTCTTGCATATGATATTGCCATATACTGCTAATTATTGATTAGTTTCCATAAGATTTTGAATGTAATGTAAAGAAACATATTTATATTTGCACCATAGCAGATGGCAACAATATCCACGTAAAAAATAACCATTTCATTCATTGTTAATCAAATAGAACTGAGGAATTTTGGTAACTAGGGTAAAGCAAATTTAACTCCCTGCTTCCTTAAACGGATAAAATCTTATCTTGTAAGAACAAATTTTACATGGGATTAAGGAAAAAAAATAACTGTATCAAAGTTTATAAATTTTAGTATCTGTATGTTACATTGTTCTTTTTTTTTATCGAGCATGACCTAAAACTGGAGTTAATCAAATTAATTTCACTAGATGGAGCCGCAAGGACTCTGGGGGGGAGTTTGCGTCTCTCAAAGAAGTAATTAAGTTCGAATACCAGCGATGACTGGCTGCAAATTCTGCTGACATAAAATTAGTTGCGAGTAAAGCAATTTTCGCTGAGAAAACTTGTTCTGATTCTGTTAAAGTCTATTGAGACAACAGGTCTATTTTTGTTCTAAAAACTTGTGTCTTGATACCGCAATAAACCGTCTTACCATGCTTTCCTTGCAATGTTTACGGAAAAAACTTGTATGCTAAAAAAGGCTATGGATTGACTTTTTAAATTGTACTGTTTTGCAAACCCAGCTGCTGGTTTACAAGTTTACATTTTGAGGTCTTTTATTTATTTTTTTTTTGAAGAGTTACTACGAGTTAGATATTTTGTAGATAAATAGCATCCAAATATTGTGTGATTGGTAATACGCATACATATTCCGACGTCCATTAGGTAAAATACTAAAATTTCCTAAATTAATTTCCTCTTTAGGAATTGAATTTGCAGTAATCAAAATCTAAAAGATCGTAACTCTAAACCTTTTAATTAATTCAAGACAAAATCAGCTATCTTCGCAGAATTATATTTCGATAATTAATATGGCTGATAGAATTGCTGACAGGGAATTAAAATGGATTTGATCATTACTAAGCTTACTGAGCCATACGCATTTGGAGTTAATTCAGAGACATTTCACAAAGTATGATACTCATTGAAATGATAAGCAATATTTTCTATCGAAAAATGAGTATTTCCCTTAATATGAAATTCTGGTTCAAATTTCTAAAATGCATGAGACTTTATCGCTAGAAATGATCTTATGATCTATAAATAGCTGAAAGTAAAACTGTGGCGAGTTAATTCGAGTTAAATATGTTTAACTTCTGAAGATTACAAGATTTACTTTGCTTTGAAAAGTATATAGTATTACCATGATTAGTAAAATGATTATTTAAAATTTATTTAGATCTAGCTACCGATAAATCGAAAAGATTTTAAATATTTGTAATTAACTGTAATCTGAATGTATTTGCTTTAAATTTTAGAAATTTCAAATAAGAAAGTCGTAAAGGTTTTATTCAAGAAAATTTTAAAATGTATGTTTTAAAGTTTTCTTGAAAAAAAAACCATTAAGACATTTGAAGGATTTGTTTTTTGTTTCTTTTTCTAGCATATTTCTTCAATGATTTCTGTAACTTAGTTTTTAAAAATAATTACGTTTTAAGATCTACGAAAATTAAAGTTTTTAATTTTTTACGAAATAAAAAATTATGCTATGAAAACTAATTTTAGTAAGGTTAAAACAACAATTTTTAACCAATTAAAGAAGTTTGATCACATAGTTTTACTTTATTGGAATCAATTTTTGATCATGTTTATAAGAAACTTCCAAAAGTTTTCAATAAGTTTTGATGTTGAAATTAAAACATTTAGAAGAGTTTCTAAATACAAAGACATCTATTTTCCTCAATGGTAATATTTTTTTAATGAAATCTGAAAAATCCCGGTAATTAGCAAAACCGGGCACTGGATTTCTATTTTAAAAAATCCTGAACTACAATCGAAAAATTCATTATACTATTATTAAAAAAAATAATAAATATATTTAAAAAAAAATTTCAGCAGATAATAATTTTTTTGTTATATTTTGTAATTTTTATCGAAATACAACTTATCAAAGTTTCAATTCCGAAATGTTCCATTTGAAATACAGCAGAAAATTCTTTTTATCAATATGAATCTATAGTTCAGGCAGAAAAACTTTTCTAGTTTATTGTGTTTTCAAAATTTTAGCAAAATGTAACTTTTAAAATTCTTGAAATAGAAAATTGGGTTTCAATTAAAAATTCTGATAGATGATTTTAAAAAAATTTCCATTATTCTAAATATTTCTATCAAGGAGATAATTTTTTCGCATTTGCTAAATTTTAAGTCAAACTGTACGGAATTTCAAACAAAATATTTCAGAAGATTTTAATTAGAAAAGTTCTGAAAATCATTTAAAAACTCCTATCTATTCAAAAATATTTTTCAGGCAGATCAGATTTTCCTAATTGTTATAGTTTCTTAAATTTATTTAAATTTAACCTATCGGAAGATAAACTACGTCTCTTTTCTCAAAAAATAACGAAACATAATTTAAAATACCTTTCTGCAAATATTAGTATTTAATTCAAGCGGATCAATTTATCCTGTTATTATATTTTAATTAAAAATTACCGACATTTTACTTATAATATCTAAAACTAAGGCCACAAGTTAACAAAACTTACCATTTATTTTTAATTAAAAACCTTGAAATACATGAAAATACTTTTTTCTAATGTAAAAAATAATTTCAAGTGGATACTGTTTTTTTTTAATATGTTATAAGAATATTATCAAAATCTAATGAATTGATGAAACCTGAAAGGCAATGGAAACTTTTTTTTTCTATTTCGAGAAAAAAGAATCTCGTAAAATGATAATCTCGAGAATCTCAATGAAAATCTCGGTAAAAAAAATCTCGGTAATGACATTATTAGTAAAACAAACAAACAATAATTTTGTAACACGTGAGTATATGATATTAAAACTATTTACTTGTTTATTTTCCTGTTCTTATGGTAACAATTTACTAGAAATTTTGGCTTATAAAATTATAGATATATACCACATCTGCAAAAAATGCAAGACTGAAAATCAATTTTAACCGAGTAAATGGTTTTCATACCACGCTCTAAGGAGTCATGGAAAAGTTGCCAAATTTTATCACTTGTTATAAAACCATATTTTATTATTATTATTACCAAAATCATCACCAAAGCACTACGGTAAAAATTACCTAGCTTTTTCGTGTTCCCATAGAGTCGGAAACATTGTAAGTTTTACCATATTCTGGTAATTTTGACCGTACGTTGCTGTGTATTTGTATAAAGTTTTATTTTAGGAAGGTCAATAAAATATAGCTGTAAGCATTTACAAATTTTATCGAAAAAAAGGCACATACTCTAGATGTTTAAAGTATGCCATTAGATTGTAATTGAAAAATATTCTGAACTACAAATGAAACTTCTTTTCTGTTAATAAAAATAACTATTTGAAACTGATAAATTTTTCAAATTTGTTAAATAATAAAAATTTCGCCTAAATGTGCCTCATTGAATTTCTAAACAAACTGGCCCATGCTCTAGCTATTGAAAATATTCCATTGAATTTTAATTGAGAAGGATTCTAAAATAAAAAAATATTCATTTCTTCTTATATAAATAACTATTTCAGACTGATGAATTTTTTTAAGCATGTTAAATTTAAAAACAATGGCGAAACCTGGCTTATTAAATTCTAAAATTCTCTAGCTATTGAAAATATACCATTGAATTTTAATTGAAAAAGATTCTAAAATAAAAACAAAAATTATTTTCTACTTATATAAATAACTGTTTCAGGCTGATGAATTTTTGAAGCATGTTAAATTAAAAAAATGGCGAAACTTGGCTTATTGAATTCTAAAATTCTCTAGCTATTGAAATTATACCGTTGAATTTTAATTGAAAAAGATTCTAAAATAAAAAAAAATATTCATTTCTACTTATATAAATAACTATTTCAAGCTGATGAATTTTTTTAAGCATGTTAAATTAAAAAAAACGGCGAAACTTGGCTTATTTAATTCTAAAATTCTCTAGCTATTGAAAATATACCGTTGGATTTTAATTAAAAAATATTCTGAGAGGCAAATGGAAATTCCTTTCTATTAATATAAATACTTCTTTCAGGCAGATCGCAATGACAACAGGGACGGCCTAAGTTATGGAAGTTTAGATTTCAGCATTTTGGAACCCGATCCAAGAGAGCAGACGACTGCCACAATCAACAACAGCCGGATAAAAGTTCATCCTCAAAGTAAAGGAGGAGCCCCTCATTCAGAAAGCGCCAGTATTCGAAGCAGTCATGATTACAGACAATACCATAACCCGGCTGCTGTTGAGCAAGCATACATTTAAATCATCAACTAGGATTGATTATGAATTCCAATGTTCTTCACATCGTTTGCTTTGTTTTGAGAGACAAAGAAACAAATATTCGAAGCATACGGAAAGACATAACAATATCCGGGAAGAACATTTTATTCACGTCTTTGTCATGTGATTTATCCGGATGTTTCCATGGACCCGCCCCTGTGTGTCGTGTTAATGTATATAATGTAAAAAGAACAGAAGTGAAAATGCACTGAGTAAAATATTATTGCACTGATAGATCAAGAACATTGTGATCGGAAAAATCGTTTTATTAAAAAATATATGTCTTTGAAGAAGAGGTAAATTAAATTTTCAAAACATGGTATGGAAAATTGTATTATATGTATGATATTTTGTTTAATGTAATTTGGAAATAAACGAATTAGAGATTCAGTCTTAGACCAAAGTGTTTCGGTACATTAAAAATGCCGCTTTGTATAATTTAATTTTTGCAAAATAGAATTTAAAAGAAATATATTTAAAAAAAATGTTAGGTGAAAGCGTGCTTGAGGTAGCAAATTGCCTATTATAGAACTAACTATTGTGATCTTCAAGATGTATTGTGATCTGTTACTTTTGAAGGTGTAAAATATATATTGTTAAATTGGCACAAAGCATGGTGTTTTAATTTGCAACAACATACACTGTAAATAAGTGTTCTCAATCGTCACGTTAATCTTATTAACTCCTTAATGTACACTATTCCAGAAAATTGAGATTCAGATTTATATTGCTTGTAATGAAATATCGCGTCAACAGAAATTACAAAATAGTCGAGAAAAATTCAAAAAGAATTAACACTGAAGTCCTTGTCGATTTCATTTTCTTATTCAATTCTTTATTTTACTCTTGCAATTTGTTTCTTAATTTTAGAGCATTATACGACAGTTAAAATTTAGTCTGTTTTTCTTTTTGGTTTCTCCACAAATTTATTTTTATTCTTTTTTTCTTAAAAAAAACTTACTCTATATTTCTTTTAATTCCTTAAATTGGATTATGATTTATTCATGTAAGGTCCTTTTTTATTCGGTGCGAAGTTTCTTATCATTATTTTTATCATCATTTAAACATTTTCCTTCTCTGAATTATTTAAGAGTGTTGTAGAGAATCTAGGGGAATTTCGAATAAAGACGGAAAATGCGGAAAAACTCCTGAATCCGTAAAATGCTTTATAACTAATTGTTCATAGAATCACCTAGTATACGACTAAACTGGGATGAATCATCTAGCTTTAAGCAAACCTAACAAAAATGCAATTAATTATAAAACTTTTCAAAAATAAGTGTGAAGATTTCACAGTATAAAACTAGATAATAAATATAATTTATCTGCAAATTCCACGTAGTTGTCTACCTTTGATAACACATTAATAAGAATGTAGACTATTTAATAATAAATAATTAAGAGATCTCTTTCCTTCCCCTCTTGCACTTTAGAAAAAAAAAAGATTTTTTTTTCTCAGTTTTTGGTACGTTACTTGTTTTTTTTTATTAAACTATGACTTGGCAGTTCTATGGCTTTCAAAATGCAGAATATTAAGCGATCTATTTCAAATTCGGCAAAATAGTGAATGAATTTATCTAATTGCCTAATTATCAAAAATGTAGCTCAATAAAATTATGCGGATTGTGGTTTGAGTAATAAATTTCATGCAATGCATATGTCTGTTTTTTTTTTAAACTAAGGAAGACCGTTTTGAATAATTTAAACTATTCCATTTAACTTAAATCACGCGAATGGAAAATTCTAAACCAGATAAACGTACAGTGCGTGATAACTTTTCAAAACTACTGATTGGTATAATTTTTTTTCATCAAAAAGTAATAGATAATGCAGAATCCAAACTACAACACTCAATATTTCTCAAATTGCTATTGCATCAGGCCTCATATATTACACATTTTGAAAGATATTTCGTTGTAAAGTAAACATCCAACATAGTTTACCTGAGAAAATTAAATAAAGAGGATTAAAAGCATTTATGGAACATCCTTCCTCCGTCACTTCCTTTTGACAGGTGAGTTTGATCGAGAGGAAAGAGGTCTCTTAAGTAAGAAGCTTTTGAATCTGATGATTATTAATTAAGTTTCAAAAGTTTGAATTTGATGTTCATTATATCAGACGAAAATTAAAAATAAATTTAGAATTATTAGCAGTATTGGTTTCATCAGTATATATCTACAATAAACGTTATACCATGTTTAAGTATAAAAATTATTGCAAGGCATAAAATATTATTATTGTGAATAGTGTTTCTAAAAAGGGAAAAACATAATTAGTTATATTTAAGCTAAAAGGCATTTTAAGTATTCAATATTCCAAGACTATCAAAGTCATATATTGTGTACAATAGGTGTACAAAAAAAGCGTGCGTTACAGGGTTAATAAGACAGCACTCCACTTTTATTGCAAGAAATTTAGTTTTGTGCTCATAATGAATATTTTTTTCGATACAACTTTCACATGTATGCTAAAATAAATCTTAACTTACGTGATATAAATTGTTTTATTAAAAATAAATTAAATTATAAATTTAAAAACAGTAAAAAATATTATAAAACCAGTAAATTTCAAATTAATGAATATAGATTAGTTGAAAGGAAATTAATTATAAAATATATTTTACATTACTATTTAAACACAAAATGTACTTTATTTAAGAGTAGCCTCTGTTTACATGAATATTGATTTATAGAAACACAAAGTTTTGTCTTTATGTAAGTAAAATTTAAAGTATGTGTCAAGTGTTTTATATAAGATGTTGTAAACTATTTATTTTGTGCTTTACTTTGAAAATATTAATTTTAATGAATGTTTGTAATATGGTAAATAAGTTATTTATTTTTGTATGAATAATGTAAATTAGCGAAAGCATGCTTATAAACTGCTAATTTAAATAACTCTCTGGAATGCAACTTTAAATATTAATTTTTTTCATGTTTTGTAAAGAATTTATTTATTTGTACAGTTTTTTAACTAAGCAAAAACCAATTTTGTTTTGTGTCATAAAAAATAATTTAATTTTAGTGAAAGAAATATAAAGTTTGCTTTACTGTAAGGTAGAAAAAATTTGAGAATGCAGCAAATATTTATTAATCAATTTTTTTATAAAAACAAACATGCAAGCAAACAAGAATCATATTAAGTTTTTTACTAGTGCAAGTGTTATTTAATGATTAATTTTGGCACGTCCTGATACTTGAAAACTGACTGTTATGCTTTATTGCTTGTATATGTGAAGCAACACAATAAAAAGAAATATAATGCATGAAAATGCAAAAAATGCATGCAATGCATGATGCATCAAAGAACTACCCATGCACAGAGAGAAAAATTCTGGTAAAATTACCATTCTGTATGGTATTGATATTTCTGGTAAAAAAAAACGACATGATTCTGGTTAATCATACCAAAATGTTCGATATTTAAATTATTCATTTGATAATTTTTTGTTCATATGCTAACGTTTTCCCTGAAAATCTGGATTTCAAAATTATAGTTCTTATTGCAACACATTTAATAAAAAATACGAAACTGAAAAGTAAATTTAAATGAATAAATGATTTTTATGTCATGCTGCATGGTGTCATGATAAAATATTAAGTAATTCAAAGCTTACGTTATTTACTAAATTTTATCACGTATTATAAAACTCGATATCTTCTTGTCATTATATTGTTATATCATATTTCTAAAATCGCTACCAAAGCACTTCGGTAAGAAATTATCGAATTTTTTTAGTGTTCCGAAAGAGCCAGAAACGCTGTTGAATTTGACCAAATTTGTGTAGTTTTGACCAAAATTTTTTTTCTCCGTGGGTGAAATATATTTATATTGAATTTCACGCGTTACTTTTTTTCATATAAGCAACAAATTATAACTATCTTAGTTGTTTTTAGTTTTATTTGGTATCGAACATAGTAACATGGTTCTTATTCAACCTATGTTTGTGGTTTGCATGTTAGGAAAATTGAAAATAATTAAGAAATTAGACACTAACATATGCAAGCACTAATTAGAAAAAGCACAATTTAATTCTTATTTTTATTAGTTAATTCAATGAAGTATAATTTAAGTGCTTAATAGGTTTTTATAAATAATATTTATATAGTTTAATTAAGACAATGTGTCGTGTTGGGAATTTTTAACATGAATGTTCGAAATTCTAAAAATTATATACAATATTTGGCATTTTCTTAAGTATTTTTTTAATTTATATTTATTGAATTATGTCATCGTTCCTAAAATATGAATGTTTAACAGACATTGAAGTAATTTGTTGCCACTTGATGTCGATGCCGGTCTTGCTTTGTATTTCTGATATTTCTATGAATCTATCTAACATAATGTCATATGTAATATGAGCTTTCACTGATTGTACGGAAAGTACAGCAGCAAGCTAAATAAAGACATAAAAACGGTTGCAATTGATTGGCTTTATTTCGTAAACTACATATTTCTTTTTGCAGAATATGCATACACAAGATGCTCCTTAAGAAAATCTTTTTTGCTGTAGTGTCAAAAATGTTATAAAATGTAGTAGTATTAAGGGTTGCAAATGAATATTTAGGTGAGAAAATAATAATAAAAAAAGATATCTAAAGCTGAGAAATCGCAACAGTAATAGTGGCCATTGAAAACATCCATAACCCGTTTAGTTACCTCTTGAAGAAAATTGGAGCAAACAGACGATTAACAGAACCATCTGCAAGATTTATTAGGAAATCAGGCAGGTTTTGGTTGCTACAGTCCAATATCGTCAGATTTACATTGTGATTTTGTTTTTAATTAGCTTTTTTGTTAGTTTGGTGATTTCTTAGCTTTTTCTTAAATTTGTGAACCAAAATGCATTTACTTTTTTATTTTATTTTTTAAAATATACATTGAGAGCAGTCATTATGAGACACACTGTATGAACAATATTTACGGTGTGTAAAAAGGTTAATATAAAAGGTATAGTTTTAGGCTATAATAGTTATACACTTTTGAAATTTCTCGGAAAAAATGGTAAAATAACAATTTATTTAATTGTTACTTTACCATATTTAAATGAAACAGTAAAATAACCATAAATAAGATGGTATTCAAGCTGTTAATTGTGAGAAAAGCCATTTATTAACCGCTTTCAACTAATACAGTTAAACAACCAGACTTTATCGCACCAACTAGGCCCACCTAATGAAGCCACTTACTTCTTTGTAGATGGGCTACTGCCAAAAAAGCTAATCTGTCAATTTCATGACTGATAAAATGAAGGTTCGACTCCGAGCATTGACACCACAAAATTTCCTCCATTCTTTTCAATACATAAAGAGTTTCCAGTGTCCTGCAATCCACAATTTGTGACCCTGGGCTATTAGAATACGATATTCTCATTTACGTATAGACGGCTGCACAATAAAGCCGCTGAACTCTCTCCCGTATCCAGTTAAAATTTTTACTATTTTGAAACCATGCTGTTTGTAGATGGCTACAAAACCGCTAAGTTTTGTATTCAAGGTTTTTTAACCATACTAGTAGTAAGCGGTTTTAAAACCATAAATTTGAAGAATGTTTTTTGTTGTAAATTTTACAGTTAATTGACCGGAAATACTGCTTCCGGTTATTTCGAAGTTAACCGGTTAATTGGATAAAAATTCTGCTTAAATTGGCAGTTAATATGGCTGAGAAGTGCAGAGTTTGGTCTATAAAATTAAACTGCAATTCTACATACAGCAAGCAAACGCAAAAACATAAATTTTATATACTTTCTAAAGCAGATTTAACGTACAAGAAAGTTTTCACGAATAGTAAGTTTTATATGAAATAATTTTATTTATTCCTTAAAATAATAAAAGCTTTTATTTTTCACCAACCGTAATTAAAACTGACATCCAATTAAAATTACTATAGAAAAAAGGTATTCACAGACATTACGAATATGTTTCAGTTAATTTCAATGGAATTCGAAATTTTATTACTGATTTTTAAGCTTTAATATGTCTATACAAATAAATACAGAAAAGAGAAAAAACGTGGAAAATTAAGAGAAACAATAAGTTTTATTTACTGTGCATAAACTGCACGTAAATAGAACTCATAAAATAAGTTCAAATATAGAGAAAACATGGAAAAAATTACAGAACAAGGGAAAAAGAAAAGTTATAATAATAAAAATCCGGGGAAAAAATTCTGAAAAAAAGGAAAAAAAATTATAAAATTCTGTAAAATAAAAGATATAATCTTTTCATCCGCTCACATGATTAGATCCGAGTATATAAGCACTTCTTTTTGTGGATACAGTCGTGTGTGCGGATGAAAAGATTATATATTTTATTTTCCGGTTTTTTAATATTTTTCTCTTTTTTTTTACGGATTTTTATTATATTTAATATTATTACTTTTCTTTTTCCCTTTATTCATTGTTCTGCAATTTTTTCCATGTTTTCTCCACATCTTGAACTACTACACTCTACATTCTGCATATAGAATATCGAATTAATTCACTCGTTCAAAATATTACTATTTTAGATCAAGTTATGCATGGTCTCAAAATTAGCCTTTGTTGAAATTCATTGAAATTATGTTTTACAAATTTATATGCTACATGCTTAAGCGCAAACGAAAATAATTTCCCGCATGAATAAAATATGAGATAAATTTGAATCACACTAAAAAAGAAAGTATAGCGGAAGTTAAAATTTAATGATTTTCTTGGAGAAATGATTAAGATGAAAAAATAAAAAAAAATGGTTGAACGTAAGAAACATTGAAATAACGAGACAAAATATTAAATTATTACTTACATTTAGTTTATTCATAACTCTAGATTAATGCGCCCAAATGTGGCACATGGCATGATCTTTTTCTGAAGCAAAAATTCAAATTAAATAAACAAACAATTATGTTCTACAGCAGTGCATCTTTTCTCGACACATTCATTATTATGAATGTGTCATTATTATGAGTTTGTCGTGTTATTAAACAGTTGTTTAACAGTGTTGAAATCTATTTTATTTTAGCTTCCACATCTTGTACAACTATGCTTCCATTCCAAACACCTGATACATTTTTGCCATTTCTCTTCATTTAGTATCTTGTAAAAACATGTTTAGTTTCCCCCGTCAATTAAAATACTTTTTTGCCTTATTGAAACGTATTTGCCTCGTGTTTTTTTTTCTGTAGTTGATTTGAGATAGAAAAAGGTTTTTATTTATTTTCATTCTTGTTTATGGAACCAGGACTGCAGCATGTTCATTTTTGTGCCATTATTTGTACTTAATTCGCGTTGTTTTGCTTTCCTGAAACATAGTACAAAGTACACATTATCTTCGCATGTATGCTAAGATTGTGTTTAATTATTACTTAAAAATACAGAATCTGAAATAAAATCCTGATTCCATTATTGTTTGACTTGCAAAGGCTAAAATGTTGGAACGTTTACAAAAAGAGTAAGTAGGATAAAGTTTCAGTTCAAGTAATTATATAAGTAATTGCAGTTGGAAAATAAAAACCTTAAATAAAATTTGTTTCCCTTTAAATCAGTTGAATTTGAC